ATTTTCTTTTTCTACAATTTTACAAGTATCTACATTGGCGGTGGAAACAAACTGATTAAGGGGTTTTGAAAAAAAGTAGGTGGCATAAAAAAAGTAACTACTATTGGCCCATCTAACATAATGGGATTTCCCATATCGGATACAAATGTTATTATTGAAAATCCTATCCCTCTAAAAGTAACCGAGTTGTCTATAACATTCGTGTTCCAAGTAGTTCCTGGAAAGAAGGCAGTGATGCTTGCGTAAAAGGGATTTGGAATATTTGGCGCCTCCATCTACTTAAGTTGGTGTTTAAATAAAACATGCACAAAAGATCACAATAGGGAGTGAGAACATTTATCAATTACAATAATACAATATTATAATATATAGATATATATGTTTCAACTTTCTCAACACATTCTATTTTATGAAGATTTAAATTGTAGTGACTAGTCAGGATAAATGAGCTTAATTTTAATCATGCTCACAATGATATTTACTCATTTAAATCCCCAAGGTCCAACCTCCATCTACAATATCATCAAATCTTCACAAATAGATATTATTGTAATTGATTAATATAACTATAGACTAATAAATAGGATCATTGCATTACTAGAGATAAAATAAAGTAAACAAACAAGACCAAGACGTAATCGGAGATAATTAAAATAGGACCAGAGTGCATAGACTGGAGATAAAATAAAATAAATAAAAAGGACCGAGTACATAACTGGAGATAATTAAAATAGGACCAAGTACATAACTCTGGAGATAAAATAAAATAGGACCAAGTACATAACTCGAAGATAAAGTAAAATAAACAAAAAGGACCAAGTACATAACTGGAGATAATTAAACAAACATAAGATAAGACCATTACGTAGTTAGAGATAAATAAACAAATAACTAAATAAATAGAATGAGGTTAGGGACACCTCACTCCACAACTATAAGCAAAATAAAATAGATTTAATGATAATATTCTCCTCCCCTACCTTAAGAGCTGCGTATGAGGTACCAAAATTTTTGTAGAGACAATTTTTTTTTTCTCTTCTTTCTCTTCTTCCCTCTCTCTTTCTTTCTCTTTCTCTCTCTTCTTTCTTCTCTCTTTCTCTCTCCTCTCTCTCTTCTTCTTTCTCTCTTTTCTTCTTTCTCTCTCCTTCTTTCTCTCTCTTCCTCTCTCTTTTCTTCTTTCTCTCTCTTCCCTTTCTCTTTCTCCCTCTCGATCCTTCCCCCTACCCTTTTTATAGTAAATTTTTTTTTTCTTTTTATTTATTTAATTATGTAATCATAAATGCAGTAATTATGATTTTGATAATGTTTATCTTTTAGGATAAGATAACGTTTATCTTTTACATTAATTGAGATGTTACAATATTCACATATTTCAATAACATAATACCAAAAATATAATATTTTTAATTATAATATATTTTTTTATTTTAATATATAAATATATTTTTAAAATGGATTCACCGCTCGTAAGTTAGACGAAACAGGCTAATAATTTTATTTATGATAACATAAATAATTAATTTAAAATAATTTTATCATAATAAATAATTACTCATCTAATTAAAAAATATTAAATATTTATAAATTAAATGTATTTTTATTTAATAATTATATATAGTTATAATAATTTTGAATTATGATAATTAATTAGACTAGGTAATTTTAAAAAATAATTATTAAAAAATACTTTAAAATAAATATTTAATTTTTTTCTTAATAATTATAAGATAATAATAATATAATATTTGTAACATCTCATATTTATCATATAATATTTTTTAAAATATAATATATTAAATTATAGCATTTATGGATTATTTAAATATTTTTATATTTTAGTAATAATAAAATAATTATGGCATCAAATTTTAATATATTATTTTTAATTTAAAAGATAGAGTGAGAGTAGAGCAGGAGAGAAAAAAATTGAAGAGGAAGAAAAATAAGAAAATAAACGAAGAAAGAAGAAAATGTTAGACAAATTTATTTATTTTATTAAATTTTGTATATAAATAATAAATAAGTCTACTGGATAAATAAATGTAAAAAGATTCTATTTTAAGTAATTTTTTTAAAATATATTATTTATAATATTGATTCGTTTATATGCAAAGATCAAAAATTAAAATTTCAAAATAGATAATTAATCTCTTGTTTTTATCCTGAACAGATATATCTTTCATACTATTTTAAATCATTAACCATAAGATAAATTTGTACATGGAAATTACATTCTTATGTATATTTTATCTTTTCTTTCACACATGATAATTATATTCAAAATGAGATAAGCGTTATTAAATGTCTCAAGTAGTCATTTAGGTATTAAAATAGTAGTATTTATTTTGTACTAACAATATTTAAAAGACAATTCCTTGAGAAAAAAAAGTTAGTGCAAGAAAATAAATTATTTTCTTTTGCTTGATAACAAAGAGAACGATAAAGATAAATATGACATGTTTTATTATTAATTATTATTAATAAATTTAATATTAATATTAATAATAAATTTAATATTAATATTAATAAATAAATATAATTATTTATTATATATATATAATATCATATTAGATAACACAATTTTATTAAAAATTAAAATAATAAATTGATAAAAAATATTGAAATAATGTTTAATACCACGATTTATTTTTTACTCACTTCTAGTTCATATATAAATGAAAAAAAAAGTTAAAGTATATACAAAATATTATTATATAAAATAGTTATTTATTCTAATATTTATAATTATAATTTATATTTATGGATATAAATTTTTATTTTTAATTATTATTTTGATAAAATAGAGTAAATATAAAAATTGAATAAATAATTTAATATATTTTATATTTTTTAATGTGATATTTTTTATTAATTTAATTCTGATATTTTTAGAATAAGACAATATTTTTACAATAATAAAAAAATTATAATTATACATCAAAGTATATATTATTAAAATTTTGATATATAAATATGAAGATATTAATTAATAAAGTAATTTCGAAAGCAATGAGGGGGAGATTAATGATAATGTGAAATATGTCACTACATTCCCAAGAGATGATTTTGATGATGATTCAAGTCAACAAGTGGCGGATCTTGACCATTGATCTTGGGGGGCCAAATAATATATTATTAATAAATAATAAATAAATATAAAAGGAAGAAAGAATATGAAAGGTTGAAAAGATAAAATTGTAGATATATACTTAAATATATTAAATTATCATTAAGTTTGAGGGAAACAAAATCATAAATTATATGAAAGTTACAAAAGCTGAGGAGGGCTATAAAATTGTAAATATACAAGTAAATATATTAAATACTCATTATGTTTGGGGGGGGGCCAAAATCATTAATTACATGAGAGTTACAAAACTTTGGGGGGGCACGACCCTCCTCAGCTCCCAAGAAGATCCTCCACTGTCAACAACATTCAATAATCAAGCAAGCCCATGATATGATTTTGATAAAGATTTAATTCAAACATCAAGCAACCTGAAGACTATATAGAGTCTTAGAATACTGGATATGGAGGTACAAGTTGACGAAGTAATATTATGCATAAGCCTCCAAAACACAAGGGTGATAAAATTTTGTAACATGATATTTCTCATTGTCATAATCAATTATGATGCATCAGAAATGGAAAAATGATTTTCTCTGTCGTAATTGATTATATTGGTAACATAATCAATTATGGCAGTTCAAATTTGAAAAATATGCGTTTTGAAGAATAAATGTTTTTAAATACATTCTTATTTTTTCTCTACGAAAGTATTAATGACCAACCACTATTTTACGATACTATTTTTTTATTTAATTAAGTTTTGATGGAAAATAAAACACACACAATTACGGAATTTGAAAATACAATTTACATTCAATCAGTTTGAGAAAAGAATTCGAGCAAGACAACGAGAGATATTTTACATGTTTTGAAAAAACCCTCTTCTCCATTGCATACTATGTTTTTATTGTTAATTACACTTGTTCTTGGAAGTTGACATTCTACAAACTTCTACAATTTGTTGTCTTCATTACCCAGGTGTGACTGTTTTTATTTTATTACCTTCATCCTTTGTGGACTTAAGTGGTTGATGGTTAAATTCTATGTTTAAGGTTTAAGTAGTCATTGTCATTCTGTTGTGTTTTTTTTCCTGTGTGGAAACTATTCATCCATTTGATTTGTTCATGAAAGTGTTTTCATCCTTTGATTTGTTCAGAGGAGGTGTTCATCCCTAGTGAGATTCTAGGGAGGTGTTCATCCCTAGTGGGATTCTAGGGAGGTGTTCATCCTTAGTAGGATTATAAGGAGGTGTGTTCATCCTTTGATTTGTTCAGAGGAGGTATTCATCCCTAGTGAGATTTAGGGAGGTGTTCATCCTTAGTTGATTTCTAAGGAAGTAATTGTCTTTTGAATTAGTGTGCTGAATTGATTATAATTTGTGAACTGAGTTTAAAAGATAGTGAATTTTGCTCACTCTTGTATTAAGAGTTGACTGGAAATTGGACGTAGGGTTGATTATACCCGAACCAGTATAAACCACCGTGTACTCTTCTCTTTCCCTTATCTCTTATTTAAGGCATTACTCTCCTTACGCCCCTTATTTTTTATTTCTATCTTTTTCATATTTTATCTCTTTGATTATATTGCTTCCTTTTTTATCTTTGTTCAATTTAATAATTAAATTTAATTAATAAATATTAGACATCTTAAAATAAATTTTTAATTTGATATTTATTTAATTTGTGTATCTATTCACCTGTCTAGTTATCATCTGTCTAATAATGATATAAAATTTATTAATAAATATATGATAAATTTGTAATTAAATAAAAAATTAATTATAATTTTATAATCTAAGGATCATTGAATTAATATTTTAATAAAAAGTTTTATTCAATATAATAATAGTTGATATGATAAACTCTGCACTACAACAAAGAGTAGCAAGATGAAGAAGAAAAGTTTACAGGTAGCATCATTCATGTATTTTTCAACAATGATTGAATGTCCAACCTTTTCTTTTCTGCCAGGATCTGTTATCCCAGCTATGGTAAATACCATCTTCTTTCACCATCCAATAGATCTTCTGATGGTCTCCTTCTGTGTTAGGATCATATGCTAAGAAAGAAATACAGTTCCCATCCCAATACATTACAGCAGGTTTAGGACCATTGGTGTTGTCCAGTTTGGAATAACCTTGACCAGGTGACAGATAAACTCCATCTTTTTGGTTATTGTAGTACAAGTTCACATTTTTGTTGTTGGGACCCATGGCATCGTAAAAGGAAAGACCCAGAATGTTCAAATCTATGTGAGAAGACTCATCAGGTTGTTCCAAATGGGTCGAGGTTGAAAACCCTTTCATATCAGAAGATGATTCAGAATTGGGGTCTCCAAAACTCAATCCATTAATCAAACACAGGCTAAGAACTAGCAAAAGGGGTGCATAAATTGATCTACACATTGTGTTTGTGTGTGGTTTTATGCACCTGTTGCTTGTTTCTATTGGATTTTCTACTCCCTCTCACCCATTTGCTCTTATATATACACCTCACCAAAGTGGTTGAAATATTTAAAAATGCTGAAAAATATTCAAGTTATTAATTGGGAGATGTAATTACTTTTGTTTTTTTGTTTAAAAGTAAACGCAAAATATGGTTTATAGTTATTATTTTGGATGCTTGTGAATGAAGAGTTACGTTACGAACCTGATAATGTAAGCAATAAATATTGGTTTGTTAGTTTTTATTGTATGACATTAAATAGCTCAAATGAAATTTTACTTTCATTCATTTTTGAGGGAATTACCGTTACTTCTTCCAATTTATATTAAATCACACTTACATCTTCATTAATTTCTAATTGCTATTCAACATCCCAATTTTCGAACAAAATACACTCATACAATCTATGATTTAAAAAAAATATATATATATATATATATATATATATATATATCCTTTACATGTATTTTTTTTAATAAATGACACGTATAACAGAAAGATGAGTATGTTTTTATTGAATTATAATTTTTAATTTATATAAATTTTACTTAAGTTTTAGTAAACATTATATTTTTAGGTAAAATAACGAGAAAAAAAATCAAAATGTTATAATTTTAAACCAAAATTACTTATTTAAATATTTTTTATTTAAAGACCTAATATTTTTATTTATTTATAATATTAATGATTTTATTAACCTAATAAATATTAATTATTTAATTAACCTAATAAACATTAATTATTTTAGTTATAATATTTTTGTAACGTGATTTAAAAATAAAAATTAATCATTCAAACGTTATTCCCACAACTCCCTTTTCTTTGCATTTTTTTCTAAATTTCTCATTTCCTCTTTCATTTTTATTAACCTAATAAACATTATAAATAATTTTTTTTCTAAATTGCTTATCGAAGAGAGAAGATCATTTCTATCAAATTAAAATTTCGAATAGAATAAGTTTTTTCTTTCCTAAATTTTATACCATTTTTGCGTAATTGAGTTTAGATTTACTTGTGGGTCCCAGGGGCTTACATTGCATGTATAATTTGTGGTGAAAAATAAATTTTGATTAGTTTAAAAATATTGTGGTAGATTTGATTTGTTAATGGTGGTTTTCTGTGAGCGGGACTCTCTAAGAAATTAGAAATTTGGAGTTTTCAAGCTTAAGAAAACTGAAATTGGAAAATAAAGGAGACTAATAGTAAATTTCTTAACACCCAAGGATAAATGATTTCGATTATGTTGGTGACTTAGTCATATTGTTTGATTTGCAGGGAGTTGATTGTAGATTGATATTATTGGTCTTTGTATGTGATTAAATGAGTTAAATTAGATTTATTATGTTGGAAAAATGTGTATGAGATGTTAAGGTAGAATAACAATATGTAATTTAGATATTACATGTTTTATAAGGAAATAATATAACAAAGTCTCAAAAGGATAATATCTAGAAACTAATTTAAAGTATATTTTCGAAATATATTATCAACATATTTCACTCTAAGTGACAGCTGATCGCTCAAACGAAATGTGCAAAAGAGAAAATGACTCCTCTTAAGTATAATTTTGGTCCAACGAAAATATCTCGCTTAAGCACAAAATTTTCGAGTAATTGAGGTTTGTCTCGGGGTGTATTTTCACTCAAGCGAAATTTTTCAAGGAAGTAGGTGATTCTCGAGTGTATTTTTACTTAAATGAAATTTCTTAAAACTTTTCTGTTCATGAAAAAAATAGCTTAGAATTCCAAATTTAATGTTCCATACATGCAAGTCGAAATCCTGAAAATAAGAAATTTAATGAAATAAGAAATAACCAAAAATGATATTTGTAAAAAAAGTCATGACCAAAAGAATACACGTAAATCAAATTCCACAAATTTAATTATTTAATGAAATGTGAATATATATATATATATATATATATATATATATATATATATGACTTAGAATAATAGAATAAACATATTAAACATGTGTTTTGAAATGTTATAAATATTATTATTATTATTAATTTTAGTATTTATTATTGAAATTATCAAAATAATATCTTAATAATAATAAATATTAATTATTTTATCTATATTTTTGTCTTTAATATTATTTTTATTTTTATTATTAATATCATTATTAGTTTTAAAATGTATTATTAAAATTATCATAATAATTATTTCTTGTTAATGATAAATTTTGCAATAAAAATTATATTAAAAATTTTAAAAAAATCATTAAATAAATATTAGTATTAACTAAAAATTAAGATTAAAAAATAATAGAAATTATTAACTACAATTTTTCATTAATACTTATTATTATTATATTTATTACTTTACAATTAAATTTAATTTTATTATTAATAATGATAATTGTAATTATTTAGTTAATAACATAAAAATGATATTTTTCCTTCTTAATGTAATTATGATTATAAAATTTATTATTAATAAAAATAATTATGATAATTTTAATAATAAATAATAAAATTAATAATGATATTAATAATAAAAGTAAAAATAATATTAAAGATAAAAATATTATCAATAAAATAATTAATATTTATTATTATTATTATATTTATTACTTATTAACTAAATAATTACAATTATTACTTAGAATTATCATTACTAATAATTTATTAATTTCTAAAGTAATATATATAATAATAATAATCGTAAATATTAATGAAAAGTTTTAATTAATAATTTCTTTTATTTTTTAATGTTAATTTAATAATAATAATAATTTAATATATTTTTTAATTTTTAATGTAATTATTACAATAAATTTATAATTATCAAAAAATAATTTTGATAGTTTTAATAATAAATAATAAAATTAATATTCATAATAATAATAATATTATTTATAATAATAATAAATATTAATTATTTTATTTATTCATATTTTATTATTAGTTATTTATAATAAAATTAATATTTATGATATATATATATATATATATATATATATATATATATATATATATATATATATATGAAATCGTGCAAGCACGACTTCAGCAAAAAAAATATGAGAACGGTTAAAAAATTAGAAAAAAAAATTGAAATCTATAGAATGATTTCTTTCTTACTTAATATTTTTTTAGTTACATAAATCAGTAATTTTGATTTAAAATTGCACTGATGCTTTTCCCTAAAATAACGGAAGTGTGAGTCACTTTATAAGTGACATTTATTAAAATCATAAAATATATGATATTTTAATCTTTTAAAATTTTGCAATTTAATACGCATATCTTTTATAAATATGTTAGTGTTTTAGTTAATTGTGAGATGATATATTAATGTTGAATCAAAATCATTTAATTTTAAAAGTTGAAAGATCATATATATTATTAAATTTTTATTTTGAGTAAAATTATACTTTGATAAATTTAGGGAAAACTATGTAGGCTTAAATAATTAATTTCTTTTTTTAAATATCTAATAATATTATAAAATTTAGTTTAAATTAGTAAAAAATATTTATTGGTATTTCGTTTTTTAGTGGTTCTAAATATTTTTATGTTTTTCTTTTTATTCCTTAACTTAATTTTCTATGATAATAATAATAATAATAAATTTATCATCATATTTTGATATATTTAATCAATACAATATGTAAAAATGATTTAAGACTTATTTGATTTAGTTTTAAAAATAATTAACAAAAAATTAATAATTCTATTTTTTTAAAATATTAAAAAAGAGAAAGAGAATTCTATTGATGAGATAAGGGATTTAATATAATTATTGAAAAAATCATTGATATTATTAATAAAAAAGTGTTACATTTCTAACTTTTAAAAACAAAAAAAAACAAAAATCAGCTTTAGCAAAACAATTATGAAACAATTATCAAATGAAAACTTTCTCTAAAAACAAAATCTCTTAATTTATATTAGTTATCAATATTTTAGGTTATGTGACCAATGTTTTAGCTTAATAACATTAACGAAAATATTATTAATGACTTATCACTTTATAAATTAAATTAATTAATAATTTATTACTTTAAGGATCATTCATTTAATTTAAGAAAAAGTTAGACTTATCAAAATAAATTTGTCAAAAAAGGATTAACATCTAATAACTTCAAATAACTACCTAAAAAATTACACACTATTTCTGTTGTAACTGCTAAATAGAATTGGTCTGTCCAACATCAAGTTGCCTCCTCCCTACACTAGGATAGCTATTGCATCGCTTGTTTATGCCTCCGTCTATAATACGTAACTTCAAATAATTTTTGGAGGAAATGTTTTTATAATTAATTTATACATAAAATTTTAACTATTTTATTTTACCTTTTATCTTTCTTGTCTATGAAATCCCTCCTAGTGGTATGCACTGACTGGAGATCATTACTATGAAAAAATACAAATCAATGTATGCACATGGTTACGTCATATCCCAGTGACACTTTGAAACAGCTTACATATGTACAAGTTTAAGTCAACACCGGAACACAGGCAAAAGAATGGACATAATAACGGAAGCCCACCTGAGTAATTTCCCAAAACATTACAATCAGACATCAATGGTTGCTTCAAACCAAGGCAAGATTGACATTTTCAACTACAATCAAGCCTTTTAAGTATGTCGATTTATGAAATATATGCCTTGACCAGTTCTGTGTAGCTGCAAACTAAACCCGTCCTCGGGCAGACGATTCTACCATTATTCTTCTTCGCCATCTCTTCAAGAGCCTGCAAAAGAACACCAAATAATTAACAAAATAAGCCTCATAAAATATGCTTATCCATGGAACATCTAGAAGAATAACTAGTATAACAGAAACCTTAGTGCTATAAACATATCCATTGGGCAAGACTTGCGGTGGGTTCTCAGTGTCCATTAACTCCTTAGTTATATAGCAAACAAGCTTAGAGTGGTGCTGCTTTGAATACGGTAATGGCAAGGCTAGTGTGCGGAAGGCTTCCTGTGATAGAGGGTCCTCTTTTGTGCAATCATCCTCGTAACAATATCTTCATCAAGTCAAGGGACATATCTCAAAGATTTAGCCGTGACAATACATACACTAACACTAACCAATAAAATTTACAAGCAAAGAGGCTTTAGCATTATAAGTATGATCCTTGAAATCATCCATAACAATTTAACAGGCCATTATCATGAATGGCCAGGAGATTATCACTGTAAAATATGAAATTTCTTACAATGAATGCTTTTGAACTTTAAAATATATGGAGGGTTTTAAAATGCCTGCATAAAAAAGAAATCACTCCAATATTTAATAGACAAACCATTAATTCCCTCAAAAGGATAAGGAAAGTCCGAGTGGTTTTGAAGATTTTTTGGGTGGAGGGGGTGTTTCGGTTATACGTATGCAAACAAGGCTATCCACATAGCATACAAGCATCTAGCATTAAAAAGGTGTTTTCAGATGATAATGTACGGTTCAAGTTGTTAATGGATACGGTGTCTTGAGAGCAGAAAGGCCAGCTTGCAGAAAGATATTGAGCAAGGGCTCTAAAGTCATGCCATATAACTTGCAGAACTCCTGTTTGAATTGGTCCACTAGAAAATCCCATTGCTTAGCTTCAAATAAAACCTGTAAAACAATATATGCAAAAGAAAATTGCAGACATTTTAGTGCTGAAATGTCAGCTCCTCAAAAATAGACCACGATGCAACATGAAGCCAAATTTCTGGAAACGAAATACAGTTTCAATGATATCATGTTGATATACTTAGTTGGAAGTACGACAGGCAAGAAGATTTTCTTCAATAAGTGATCAGAGGAACATCAAAACACATGTAAAATAATTGTACTTGTTTTTTTACCTAATCAATAGAGGAATTTTTTTCTTGACCATGAATACATAAGACATGTGCATGTTAAAAGTACAATCGATTATTGCAACTAGAGAATATAGCACAGCTTAAAGCTTAAAGACACAAGTTTGCTTTGTTAATTACAATTATGAACAATTAGAAACATTTACAGTTTATATCATTTAGACAGTCATTAGCATATTGGTTATCATTCCTTTTTTTTTTATTTAGAGTAAAGTATATAAACTTGAAGCACCACACGCTCTTTTACAGTGAAGTCAATGTTTTTAACAACAAAAAATCGCAACTACTCCACCTTCCACTTCTAAATTCTTTTACTGTGTTATTGACATTTACATAACTATGAAGTTGCAAACCACATCATGAATCAGTTGTTCAATTTTTGAATCATGAATTGGGAATCAAAATGTGTGATAAAAACTTAACATACGAGTCCACATCTAAAACACTCAAAATTCACTAATACATCTTAAATAAGTACCATAAAACCATCATGAGTCATATGCCATAAGAAGAGCTCATAAGTTATAATTCCAATACAGATTAACAATTTCAGAGTAACTGTGTGAACACCCAGAACTGGAAAAACCAAAAAATGCACCCAATACTAGAAGAACCAAACAGAGAGTTGAGTGACTGGTTTGCAAATGTCAACAATCAGGTCCCTGCCCATCCACATGAAAACAGATAAAGGAGCAGGGCAATATGCAGCGCCCCTTCTATTCCTTTATAAAACAATTGAAGACTTTCTTCCCTTTTGATTCCTCAGATGAAAAGTGGGTTCGGGGGAAATGCAACAAATGTGGGGAGTACTGAATTGCAGAATCATTCGTTCGTGCTGATGATACAAAGGAGCATTCATGCGGACCATGAGCACAATTCGTAGCCAACTATGTTGAATCACTAGCTTAAGCTTACTCGAGGGTATCAAATTGTAATTCTAATCACAAATTCTACAATTCTAACAACAGAGAATATGAATATAATCCTAAACCTATTGCACTAAAAAGATAATAAAATTAAAACCTGTATCACCAATGCACAAAAGCACTGATAGACAAGGTATACGCACCTTGTATGTAGCACATTCAGTGTCCTTTTTAAAAGCTAGTGTTGCAATGACACGCTGCAATTCTTTCATGTGGGTGGCTCCCCATGGTGCAAGATATTTCCTAGCATATGTGATAGCTCTTAAGTTGTTCTCAGCTCTTACTAACTCTATGAACTCTTGAAGTCTCAACTGGAACTCCAATTTGCTCTGCCACCATTAAACCGCTAGAAATTAACAACAGTAAATATGATTTGATGACTTGATTATGATTTATGCATTTATTATTAACAAGCACCATCCTATGAGAAACCCTAGTGGGTACTAGAGAAAGTCTGGATTTGCATCATTTTATAATTTTATTTTTATTTTTAAATTTTAAGCAGACTTAAGAGATATTGTTATACTTGATCAATAAGGTGGTTATCCTTCTCTTAAATATTAATATAGTTTGTGATTGCAGTATGTTTGAGATGATTTCCTATTTTGAAAGCATTAAAAGAAATGCCGATTACCTAGACTCTAGAACCAAATAAACCCAAAAGCCTAAGCTATGAGCATGGTACACCAACAATTAACAAGATCAAACAGGAAAATGAACCTTAGACTTCTTCAGCCTTGATTTGTTATCAGCACACCATGCTAGGGCAGGTGTAACATCCTTATTTTGCAAAGCATCAATAACCTTTTTTGCTTCTTGGAATACATCAATATCAACAAGATCCTGATGCACCAACATGAGTGATGTTATTGTTAGAACTGACACCAAACAAAATGCAGATCCCAAACAATAACACAGAAGAACGAAAACGAACTGAATACTACTAGCATCCAATTCGACCACCTACCTGCAAGTTGCTGCTTTCAGCAAGTTTCAGTGCAGTGTCATAATATGACATCCTCAACATATAATCAACAAGAATCCGCTTCAAGCGAGTGTTACTCCATTCTGACATATTTTCCGCATCAGCAGATTCTAAGTGATCGAGACGCACCCGACACTTCTGGGCTTGCAGATGCTCTACCCGACTTCCTTCCTCCATCTTTATCACATTTTCACAAAATATAAATCATGATCATCATAAAACTCACAAGAGGGGAATATAAATTTCCAATTTAGCAACAGTTACTTAATAACAAACGTAACCAATCATAGGAACAATATTAACCACGCAGCATATTATAACTCATAACTACACATGGTAACCACCAACCACATTACACAGTATCATTTAGCACTGCAAATAAAAATATATTAAGTTAGGCGAAGCGAGAATACAATATTTTTTTTGCATCACGCGATGAATTGAAATTCAAATCAAGAAAATTAGGTCAGCAGTTACCTTTCTCTTGAGCCCTTGCAGGCGGGAGACAAGGGAGTTAAGGTGGTTGACGGCATCGTCGGGGGAGAGGTCGGCGGCTTCGGTGACGCCGGAAATGACGGCGGACACCTCCTTCTCGACGGCCCGGTGGTTGGCGCGGAGGGTTTTCTTGTAGTGCTCGAAAGGGACCCTCAGGAACTGGTGCTCCAGCTTCAGAGACTCCGTCAGTTGGGGAAGGTTCGACGGCGGAGGCGGCGCGGGGCTGGCGGTGGCGGCGATCGGGGTTCCGGTGGCGTTGTTGCCGTTGGGAAGGGTATCCATTTCCATTGGGAACAACGGAGAAGAATGGAATCTCAGATTGCTAAGTGGATTGGATTTGGATAAACTATGCTTTCAACAAAACAAAGAAAAATATATTTTATATTTGCCTCAACTTTTACCCTGGTTGAATTCCATTAAATTTCCATATAGGTTAACTATAGGATTATTATTTTTTTAAATAAGATCTTAATACTTAGATGTTTTCAATTTTGTTTACTTAGTCCGTTATCTCTTTAATGTGTAATTATTAAATATTTGAACTATAATGTGTGTGAATCTTGTTCAGTTTTAAATAAATGTGTTTCTTATAAAAAAACAAATCATTACTTTCTATCGTTTAATATTTATCATCACTTATGAACTAATTTATGTTTCAGAGTCTTAATTGTAAAAAGCATATTGATATATAAACTTTAAAAACTAAATAAATTATAAGAGCATAACATCTTTTCAAACTATAAAAGCTCCATTAATTAAATCTCTATGACTAATTAATTTAATTTTAAAGTTTTAAATTTATTATATTAAGATCTAGCCACAAAATTGATATGCTTAATCCCATTATAAACTCCCTTATATTCTTATATTTAATGTCCATCAAAGAAATATTTTTTTCTTGTGAGTAAAAAAAAGGATAAAATGCACATTTAATGTCAATTTTTACCTCTATTTTGTGATTTCAATTTTTGAAAAAATCTTAATTTTGATTTAATTCTTAATTTTGTGCACACTTTTTTTTATGTATATTTGTATTAATTAAAACATTTATTGATAATACCTTAAATGAATATATTAAATTTAATGTTCAATTAGATTAAAATAAAAGACCCAAATTCAATTAAAAAAATAGTAAAAGTACTTAAAAGAATGTTCTTTTAGCATAACACTCTCCCAAGATGTTATGAAGATTTTAATTTTCTACAAATAAAACAATCTAAACAGATATAGATATTCTCGTATAAAATTGAGCCTGACAAGATTGTCTAACACGAGGAACTTGCTACTCAAAGATTAATAATTAGATGTTCCATGACAAAAATCAGCCTTTCACTACACAAAACAACTCCTCACAACAGTGTAATATATATTAGTATTTACATTTGATCATTACACAAAACTGGCGAAGCAGAGTAATAAACTTGGTGTAAGATTTTCCAGTTCAACACTGTTCATTAGCTCATGTTTCAAGCCATGTTAAGGACCCCATTATCAAATACTTGCTTGGAAGTTCTCCAGCAGATGGAGCAAGGTATGTTATCTTCTTTCTGTAATTTACAAAACAACTTTTTTTAGAAATGCAAACATTCTTCATAAACTGTTAAATAGAATGAATCATTAAATGGAGAGACACAAACCTCTGAATGTCAATGTCTGTTACATAAATGAACCCAGCAACATTGCTGCACCAGATAAAACATCACATGACATGGTAAGAAGATGTATATTTGTAGGAAACTGTGAATGGAGAAAGAGGGGCATAATATTCTGAGACTTAAAAACCGATTCCCCATTTTGTAAAAAGTTAGACAATGGATGTAATATATACAAAAGTTTGGGTATTCATAAAATTGGTAGTTCTGAATGTCTTTGAGGAATATCTCAGTACATTTTTATGCATCAAAGGATAAGGGGAAAAAAAGTTTTAAGAATAATTATTTTCATAAAAGAAAATCAAATCATATCGGATAATCTCAGGTACACTTCAAACTAACAGAATCATATGTCACCACTTGCCCTTTGGCCCAACTGCTTATCAGATAATAAATTGATACACAAATTTACAAAACATGCTTTCTTCACTTTATGCCAATCAAAGGTACATGGATCAGACTCACCAGATTAAAAAAAGTTAAAACTTAAAAATTCTTAAATTTAGAATTATAAAAGATTAGAGTTACCTGGAAATGATCTCATCAGGTTCCTTGGCAAATGAGACAGCCAGGACTAGATGGAGCAAATCACGATTTATATTTACAGGAACAACTCTTGTTGGATCTGCAGCAGGTTCTGCTCCAATTGGTAAGGCTGAGCGTGGGGCCTGTGGCCCACCACCAACTCGATAAACAAACAAATCACTAAAATTTGCAATATTAGAATGTGGAGAAAGATCATTTGAAAGGCCATAGAAGTATTCCTGTATCAAAATCAAATGGCAGCAATTTCAGTTAGACCAAAAATAGCTGAACAAGAAATTTTATGTATGTTAAAGAGTGCACAGGAGGAGAGAAAAGAAAACTCTCAACATATTTCATTTAGATTTTTCAAATCTTCCAGAAAACACAACCATTACTCATAAGTTAGTCACCATGAGAGACTGGTTTTTGTTACTTAACAAGGAATAATTTTTATCCTATATATTTATGAGCACTTAAATACTAAAAAAACTACATCTCTCTACCATTAACTGTTTGGCAATAATTTGCAATGCAAGATGCGTTGGGGTCTAAGAGTAATATAACCAACATTATATTAAATTCAGTAGAACAACTGCTCGGAGACAACATACTTCCCTAGTTTAAATTGAAATCCTCAAAAATGAAAAAAAAGAAGGAAAATATCAACATATGGTTAACAGATTAGAAGATATTAAAAAGTAGACCAGTAGGTTTACCCTTATCCTATAACTTCTAGCCTTCTGACGAACTTTTGCGTTCCTAGATACAACTCCACCTGACCTCTGAAGTTTCACAACGTCTACTTTGGGCTCAGTCTTAAGCACATCTTTGAGCATGCTACACAGTTTTTCCTATAAGAAGTTCAAAGGAAAGCCTGAGACACTGAGCTTCTATAGAATGCAAGAATTAACAACTACATGTACAAGGAAAACACAATAACAAAAAATATGATACTGGGGTTCATTGGAACGTGCATAACTAATATATAATATGCAATGACGGACATGTTAAATAGTATATAGTATATGCAAGGCCTATACCTGACCCAAAACCAAGACAACATTGGCCTTGAATGTACGAATTGCATGCAAGAGCAACTGCAACAAAATACATCACACACAACAAAAGAGTGAGCGAGGAAAGTTCACTATGATCAATATTAATCAAAATTAGTAGTGAGTTACATGTCTGAATAGTGATCAATTTAACAATAATAAGGTAAAGTTCAAGGCCAATTACATCATAGCCTACTCCCTCTATCCATCCCATGGTATTTATCACCATGCCTGAAGCTCGTGATTCAGCATTTCCGGTAAATTGTCTCTCAATCATTCCTGAAAGCTCCTTGACAAGCACTTTATACAATTCTACATTGTTACTGAAGAAACAAATACATTCAGTGATTGGAATTCCTAAATGTGCTAAAAATGATTTCAAAAGTTCAAACCAATGAAAGTTTATATAACTTTGCCTATGTATAATAGAAGATACATCACTAATCACCTTGGAGTTGCGTGGCCATAGAAGTAAACAAGAGGCATTTCAAGTGGAATGCCTTCTACGGGATCGATGGGCATTTCAATTGGAGTTGCAGCAATGCATCCAGGAATTGTTATAGACCCTTGACCAATATCCAAGTCGACAAAGGTAGGTTTACAACCTTGTTTAGCCGCCCAACTAAGAAGCATCCTCGACAAGGTACTCTTTCCAGAATCAGTAGGTCCTACAACAATGACCCTTGGGCCCTGACCAACCAAAGTTACATAACACAATCTTTACCGCTTATACATGAAAGAGAATAACAACATGGAAATCTATGATAAAATCACAAGCTTTCAAGTCTCTCAGCACAATTTACGTAAAATAAAGCATTATTTTCCACAGTTCATGTTAACATCGAAAATAATCAGCCCTAAAAAAGTAAGAACAAGCACTTATCATGCAACTAATAAGTTAACCAAGGTTTTAAAATATGTCCATGGCCACAATTTTGGCCGCCCACAGCACATCCACAACTGTGGCCACGTCAGTCGGACTTGTCTGCAATTTCCTACAATATCAAGGAAAGAGACAAAACCACAACCACAATTTAAAAGCTTGATGTCAACCAGCCAACAAACTAATCAAAAGGCACTAAAAAAAACCTGAGAAGACTCGGAATCATCAGGTGATGAAGCTTTAGCACGACTTCTTCTTCCATCTAGTATGGCATGCACATTTACATAGCTAACCATGGGAGTCTGCACTCAAAAAGTTGCACTCTCCTAATCAGTTATTTCACGCGTAGTGTTTTATTTGTTTAGCCTTACAAATAAGTTTGAAAGAAAGAAAACATTGAATAGGGCTGCTAAGTCGGCTTACCTCATCCGCAGTATAATCAGTTTCAGTAGCACCGTCCATTTCAATGGTCGCACCAAACCAAGTAAACACCTGAAACAAAGTAACAGTTCCCTCATAAAAAAAAAATGAAATGTGAACGCAAGAAACAATTTGTTTTTGAGAGAAGTTACAGCGAACTTGAGCCTGGGAGGGAAATTGAGCCAGATTTCGGGGGGAAGCTCGGTGCCAAAAATTTCTGCAGTGCCGTTAAGGAGTCGAAGGCGAAGTGGTGCATCGTTACCCACTTCAATTCTGAGTTCGCTTTCTCTCTCCAATTTCACTTGCTTAATGGTCGATGCCGAACCAGAACCACCCACAGGACCAGCACCACCGTATGCCATGTTATTTTCCTCCCCAAATCTCAATTTCACCTCTTCTGCTTCGAATCCAACAGCAATGGCCGTTAGGGTTTGAATGTAAATTTTGTTTTCGTTAACCTTTTTTATCCGACCATTACAAAATATTTTCTCCTGTATACAAGGATTACGAAAATAATAATAAGTATTTATTTAAATTTTTATTTGAAATTATTTATTTATAAAGATAACAAATAATAAATGGTTGGATTTAAAATAAACAAAATATTTTTATAAAAATTATTAGCAGTTTACCCCAAATTTAGTACTAAAGGGACAGTTTTAAAAATTATTAACATAAATTTGGAATTAAGATATTTCAAAAGGAGCTTGAGATTAATTACGACAAAGTTAAAATTGGAGATACTTATTTCTAAAAGGAGTAAATTTTTAAAATAATTAGGATGAAATTATATTTAAAATATTTATATATAAAAAAAATTATAGAGTATAAACTTGTATTTGTTTGAATCACTCTGTATTATGTTTGGTTACGTGAATTATAATTGATTTGTATAAAAAATAGTAATAGATAGATAAGACACTAACCTTCTCATTTATCAATGAAATTGAAAAAGTCACGTATAACAGAAACAAAGTCATTTTTATCATCAGACCGTTGATTCATATAATAGAATATGAAAAATAATAAGTAAGGTCGTATATTTAATTTTTATATAAATATTTTAATAAATTATATATAAATATTTATATATATATATATATATTATCAAATTATAAATATTTATATTTATTTTATATTAAATTTATTTTGATAAATTTTATAAAAAATAATTTTTTTAGTTAAAATTAATTTATTCTTAAAATAATTATCAAAATTATATTATATACCATTTTATTTCTTATAAAAATTAAATCTATTACACACAATTTAATAAGTATAAATAAATTTTGCATGTAAATCTTTAATCAATTATATTATTTGAAGAAACATATTTTTTATGAATAACATGATTTAGTAAAAATTATTAAAAAAACTAATATGTTTAATAATTCATAATTTATTTTATCATAATTCATTAAAAATATTTTTAATTAAACTATACTTTTAATTTCTTATAAAAAACATATAAAAAATAATATAGTCTTTTCTTAATAGATTATCTATTTAAATAATATGTTAATTAATATAAATTTTAAAATAATTTAATTTTAATATATATTTATATATTATTTAAAAATTATATTTTATATAATTTAAAATAAATATTAAGTTTTAAATTAAAATATTTTATTTTAAAAATAAATTTTAATAAAATATTAAGTAGGTATATATAATAGTATATAAAATTAATTTATAAAAAATAAATCATATTATTTTTTTATTTAAAAATATAATAATATACTAATAATTAACTTATTTGTTATATTCATATTTATTTATAATATATATATATATATATTAATCCATTTTATTAAATAATTATTTCGTATTGATTTATATTTATCTCAATTTCAATTTATATTTTTTATTAAATTATGCAAGATCCATCCTTCTATCTTATTATTTAATAATTTAAACCATCAAATAAATCTTATCTTTTATTATATTTCTCCCTATTTTTTCACTTTTTATTATTTTCTTTCAATCAGAAAACATTATTTTTTATTCTATTTCTCTCTTTTTTTTTTCTCTCTCATATTTCCTCATCAATAAAACACAAGCTAATTGTTATTTTTCTTTTATTTATTATATGTATTGCGACTAAGGTTGTTTCTTCTGCGTCCTTATACTCTCTTTTTGCATCCCTATATTCATAAAAAATAACACTATTACCTTTAATGTATATAGGTTTTGAAAGGTTAGTTTGGAAAATGTTCAGATTAAGGATTTGGAAAATGTTCAGATTAAGGTTTTGGAAAATGTTCAGAATAAGGTTTTCCAAAAATATATCATGGAATGTTTCTTAAAAGTTTTTAGAAAGGTATGGAATTTAAAAAAAAATTAAAAAATATAATCTAAAAATAAATTTCAAATGATTAAATTCGTACAGAAAACATAATAAAAAATGAGTTATGAATTGTTAATCTTAAATATATTTCTAAAAAATATAATTTAAAAATAAATTATAAATTAATTTATCCATACCTCATTCATAAATGGTGTTTTTTTATAACGTATAGTGAATTTAACAATCTAAAATATCACAAATATAAATCAAATATTTCTTTTACGGAAATTTTTTAATATACAACTATTATATTATTCAAAACATAAATTTTCAATAAATTTCTAATCTTAACATAAAAATTATGCTTGAATAAAGATACAGAAGGTGCCACAACCTGGAGATGCTATAAGGTGAAATAGAAAACTGACTTTATAATATTTTTTTGATATTTTAAATGTACATTATGAATGTGTAAAAGAAATTGTTGGAATAAAGAAATAATCAACCTAAATCAATTAAAAAATAAAACGATCGTTTGGGCCTCTTGTGAACCCAGACGAGAAAATATGAGAAAAAAAATATGGTATTACTGTTTACACTTCCCTTTATACTAACACTATCTGGATAGTTTAATCACAGTTTTCCATGATTCCATTGTTTCTATGCGTGTGGCTAACTGTTCTTCAAGTTTGTGAATTATGATGAACCTAAGTGTAAAGTGACTGAGAGAGAGTGTGTTTGAAAGAAGAAAAATATATATTGTATTTGAATAGAAAATATTAAATTATTAAATAGTCTTTATAATAAAGTAAAACAAAAATTACAATAAACTATTTATTGTTAGATTCTAATTGACACGAAACTAAAATAAAAGAATCTCAAATAAAATGAGATTTTATTTGACTAATTTCTAACAATTTCTTACTAAATTATTTAGTTTACATTGTTTTTTTATAGACTCCAAGCATTGTACGTAGCTTAAAAAACATCCAACTTGAGAGGTTTTGTCATCACATCAATAACTTGTTCCGAAGTGTTACAGTGAATAAGTTTTATCACTCCTGGTAGTACAAGCTCTAAAAGAAAGTGAAAACAAACATCTATGTGTTTGCTACGTCCATGCATTACTGGGTTTCTTGATAATTTGATAGCAGAACTATTATCACATTGAATAGTTATGGACTCTTGCTTAGCTTGATCAAGTGTTATAAGCAACCTCTTTAGCCAAATAGCTTGACAGGAACATGATGCCGCTGCGATGAATTCTACCTCTATGGTTGACAAGCTTACAATTAGTTGTTTCTTGTAACACCATGATACAGTTTCAGATCCAAAAAGAAAAAAACATTTCCAATTGTGTTTTTTCTATCATCCACATCCCAGCATAGTCACTATCAGTATATGTTATGAGTTTATCACTTCCTCCCTTGTTATAAAAGATTCCAAACTCAATAGTTCCTTGTATGTACCTTAGTACCCTCTTTGCTAATTGTAAATGGAGCTGAGTAGGATTCTCCATATACCTGCTCAAAAGACTTACAACAAACATCAGATCTGAACGAGTTGAAGTAAGATACATAAGACAACCCATCATTTGTTCAAAACAAGTTTTATCCACTTGTTGTCCTCCTTCGTCTTTACAAACTTTAAGACCAGGAACTATTGGAGTTTGGACTGAGTTACTCTGATTCATCCCAAAATGTTGCAATATCTCCTCAGCATATTTACTTTGACAAATAAATATTCCTCTTGATGTCTACAAGAGTTCAAGACCCAAAAAATATTTCATTTTTCCAAGATCAGTCATGTCAAACTCAAGCATCATTAAGTTCTTAAACTCAGTAAACATCAACTCATCAGTTCCTATAAACAGAAGATCATTAACATATAAGCTTACAATGAGCATGCTGCCCCTTTTACTTTGTTTAATAAAAAGAGTATGCTCATATTCACATTTTTTGAAATCTTTCTTAACAAAATATGATTCAATGCGGTTGTACCAAGCATGAGGAGCCTGTTTAAGCCCATAGAGAGATTTCTTTAATTTGTACACTTTTTTTTCTTTCCCTTTTTGCACATAACCACGAGAGGTTGCTCAACAAAGACATCTTTAGCTAATTCGCCATGTAAAAAAGTAGACTTCACATCTAGTTTATGTATAGCCCACCCTTTTTGTGCTGCAAATGCAATTACCAACCGCATAGTCTCCATACGATTGTGCTACAAATGCAATTACCAACCGCACAGTCTCCATGCGAGCTACCAGAGCAAAATCTTCTGTGTAATCTACACCGTACTGCTGTGCATATCCTTTTACTACCAACCTTGCTTTAAATTTGTCAACTTCTCCCTTTTCATTGAGTTTAGTCTTGTAAACTCATTTTACACCAACTACTTTAGCTCCTTTTGGCCGATCAATTAATTCCCAAGTGTCATTTTTCTCAATCACCTCAATCTCTCTGTCCATTGCATTTCTCCATTTTTCTATCTTTTCAGCGTCTTCAAAATTTAGCGGGTCAGCACCAGCAGTATACAAGCCAAAGAATGCTGAGTAAAAGACAGTCTCTTCATCAGACAGCCCTTCACCGGACACATAGTCTCGTAGCCAAGTTGATTGCTTTCTACTCCTCCCTTCCATAAAACCTCCAGAAATCTCTTGATTAGTGGCAAGAAACTCCTCTAGTTGTATATAATCAACATAGTCTTCTATAAGAGATTCTTCTAAAACAACTTTGTCATCATCTTGACATTCTAGCTCGCAAGCAACAACTGACTCGGTTGACTCATGTTTGTTCCATTCCCATGTTTCATTTTCTTCAAAAAAACACATCTCTGCTTATTATAATCCTTTGTGAAATAGGATCGTAAAACCTATATGTCTTAGATTCATCACTGATTCCGAGTAAACATACCTCAAGCTTTTATCATCTAGTTTAAATATCAAATTATTAGGTACGTGAGCATAAACGACACAACCAAAAACTCTGAAACGTTGGACTGATGGCTTGATGCCGCTCCAGGCTTCTTCGGGTGTTTTGTCTTTCACTGCTAATGTTGGACAACGATTTAACA